GGGGGGACGGGGACGGGGACGACGACACACAGACATGAGGATCCCTGGGGTTTGCTGGCCAGCTAGTCTAAGCACATTGGTGAGCTCCATATTCAGAGCCTATTCTTGGCTCCTGTCTTAAGCCTTACAAAAGGCTGGGGTGTGGTGGTGCATGCCTTCAGTCCCAGCACTTGGGAGGCAGAGGGCAGGTGGATCTCTGTGAGTTCGAGGCCAGCCTGGTCTAAGTCTACATAGTCAGTTCCAGGCTAGCTGGGGCTACAGGGAGACCCTGTCTCAAAAAGACCAAAAAACAAAAAAAAGGCTCATAAGCCCCCACCCCTACCTGAAGAGTTGTGGACAGTTGATAGCTTCTGGGGGAGGGAGAGTCAAGTTTCTCTAAGGATGTGGCTCCTGGCACTTGACTGTGCTGCAGTGGATGGTCCCATACCTAGAAGTGTATGGACAGCACAAGTTCGAGTAGAGGGTTTTGGTTCTGTTTTTGAGATAGGGCCTCCCTGTAGCCCCAGATGTCCTGGAACTGCCTCTGAAACCATGGGGTTAAATGTGTATACCACCACACCCAGTGAAATCCTGACTCCATGACTGAATTCTATTCAATTTGGATTTTCCACACTTTCCTGGAAGACATACTTCATGGGTAGGCCACAAGTCTTATGTCCCCAAAGGAGTGCTAGCAATTTACATACTTCTAGAGGCTTTGTCCATAAGAACTTAGGGTGCAACTTTATACTTTTGGGAGCCTTTCATTCATTACTGCAAAGAAAAGTCCCTGAGTAATATACACAAGGAAAAAAAGGTCATTTGAGTAAGTTAGCTGCTGGGGTAGCCATCTCCATTACAGTTAAAAAGTTTATGCACTGAATATTTCCTGCTCTATCCCCTAGACTCAGTTGCAGTGGCATTCATCAACTCGTGTCAGCAGTCTGATACAGACCTCCCCATTGTGGGGGCATGTTTTTAATTTCTGGACTATTTTATTTTGTTTGTATTTATTTGGAGAGCCTGTAGATTGTGAATTCCTGCTGTTTTGAATTCCATGATTTCAAATAACAGACTGGTACATAAGACTCTTTCATATAACCAGGAAAATGGAAGGAAACCAGGGAGGGGAAGAAGGAACCTAAAAGAGAAGAATAGTAGGAAACCGGAGTTACTAAGGGAGAAATGTGTAAAAACGGGGTAAAGGGGGGGGGAAGAGGGCTATACAAAGAACTATGGGAACAAAGGGAAAGAAGGAGCTCAAAAGAGGTGGGACCATAGCAGACAGAAATTACCAAGGGAAATGAGGAAAATGGGAACAGTTTAAAAGGGAAGGGCAGGGAGGGAGGATAAGACAGGGAGAGAAAGAGGAGAGATAAATAGTGCCAACTAGTATAAAAATCCAGAGGGAATCATATTAGTCCAAAAACTGGAAAAAATTATACATACATACTGTCCTACATGAGTCCCTGAGTATAACTGGAGACTATATAACAAGAAACAGTGCCAGACAGGAGAAACCTTCCTTTGAGTTATTGGCCAGGGTAGTCCAAGAGATTCCCAAAATTACATGGGCTATTGCCATAGTCCCTGATTGCCTCCCAGAACTTGGTAGT